ACCATCGCTAGGTGCAGAGCAAGCAGTTTCATGAGCCAAATTCGAATCGCAAGTACTGTTAATATTAACAGCACTGGCACTCTTGCTCATGTTGGAAGTACGATCATCCGAGCCTGAGGCAGAAAAAGTAGCGTGAGGAATGGCCTCCAAAGACTCGAAATGGAATAATCGCGATGCAAGTGAGCTCTCATCTAGTGTAGGATATTGTGCGAACCATTGGAAGCCAATACTATAAACACGTTTACGGAGGCTGTCAAGTGAAATTGATGAGAGAAGGTTATGTGGCAGCAGTCCGGTGCCAGAGGCGCCTTTGATACCAGTTGATACAACACAGCGGTCTGGACAGCCCATAAAATCCTTCGACGCGCAAAGCAACACAATGTCGCCAGTCCTCATCGTTAGCTCCCCGGGCTGATGAGACCAAATGGAGGGTAAACAACATCAAAAATTCAAATAAGGTTATATTTGAACAGCAGTTTTATTAGCCCTAGGTAGCCCAAGTTTATTTAAAGATTAAAGGATAAACTTCCCGCATGATAGTGAATACCCAGTTTCGAATCCCTTAGAGGGTACTGATGGGACTAAGGCGAGGCCGAAACGGTAGTCTAGCCTGAATGACAAAACCTTTTGAGAGGCAAGGCTAAATGAAATTCTATGGCATCCTGAGATATACTCAGTTAATTTTGGGACATTTCCAAATGAGTCCTTGAAATAATTTGAGTGACTTGATGGCTAAAATTCCCATAATGAACTAAGTATTCTTCACAATGCCTTGATTCTATTTAAAAATTGGTGCAACGGGATGCGCGAGTGCCAACTAAGTAAAGGCAAAGTGGAGGCAGCGGATATCGCCTAAGTATAAAGAAAAACTCTAAGAATCGTGTAAGAGCACCTGTGAACTTAGAAATACCCATGATGAGCAAGAAGAAGCTGGCAAGAAGTAAATCAAATAACTCATTAGATTTTATAAAAGCAACGCTGCCTAGTTCATTGAATGATAAATTCGGCTTTACCATGTCAGACTTGGACAGTGAGGCGTTGGAAAATTTAGAATGATTGAGTAAAAAATTGCATATATCAAATCGTGAATTGGTTCTTTAGGTCAATAGGAGACTACTTATCATAGGCTATAGCCTAGTCATCAAAATTACATCCACCAGATGCTTCCAGGCTAGAGTAGGTACCCTAATCCCCGCCATGGAAGATGCGCGTTTCTGAAATTATCAGTGACTTCCTATCTGAGTACCAAAAGAGGATTCGTTGATGAAATTTTTGTTGAATAAGGTTATTCATATGGAACTTTGAGTCTATTTTGCCTCAATCCTGTGTAGACTTCATGGACTATAGCTTGACGGAACTTTTCAGCTCAAGAAATAAATAAAAGCAACGAATTTTGGGTTATAACTGTCACATCACGTCCTGATAGTTTGCTTCGTATGTACCCTTTCTTTTTTGTAGCCACCTTTTGTTTGTAAGAATTTTCCAGGATTCGTTTAGATATTCAAGTTCTGAACTTGCTATAAACGAGTGAATGTGCACGTATCTTTTGAGAAAATCCCATAGAAAAAACTGGAGAGCTTTGTGGAAAATAGGATCAACTTGAAGTGAAGAGTTGGGCGAGAAAATGTGTGTGTGTACCACAAGCGTGTAGGATACAAGTGTATAAAGCTTTAAGGAAAAAGCCAAAGAAGAGCACGAAAAACTATTATGAAACATTTACTAAAATGTTAGGGAGTTTGAATATTGGAGCATTTCTTGAAAGTGACTTCAAGGCGCTGGTTCTTCAGGCCTTCTAGGAAATACTTAGAGAAGGAATTCCTCTTATGATTAACCCTAGATACTCAGGAAGCGCCTATCCCCTCTCAGATACATAACACGTTTCCAAACTATGGCGCTTCTTGATCGAGAATTCCTGGGAATTTCAAGGCTGTGAACATCACCAAGTTGAGCCATAAGACAGGTTTATTTGGCTTTGAGACCATTAAACTAATTCAGTTGGAGCTTTAACAAGATAGTTGCGAATAGCGAATAGCAATGAGCTGATATTTGGCCTCGATTTCAATAAAAAAACGTGCCCTGAATGAGAAAGTTATTAGTATAGACACAGCAGATTATTTTAATTATAAAATAGCAGGACATGCCGATTCAAGCTAGTTTGTGGTGGACATGAATAAGCTGCATGAGAACATTAAGCTATCCATGGATGGAAGGAGGTTGATAATATCACTTTCTTAGATTGTTAAGTGATCAGGAAAATACCAAGCCTGGAATGAACAGGAAAGCAAGTGGAAGACCTGATTCTGTTCAAATTAGTTTAAAAGTAAAAGAAGGCTTTTATCGTTTTTGCATCATCGGGATATTCAATTTAACAAATGGCCAGGTATTATAATAATGAATAAGCCTCGTGTAGATCTCAGTATACTGAACAAGGCAAAATATTTAAGAATAATTAAAGTTTTCCCATTTTTATACCCTGCCCCCTCTCGAAATTAAGGGCAATAAAAAAATATTGAAACCTATGAATCACATTAGGAAAAATTATTACTCTACCCGCAATAATACGATTGGTTATATAAATGTTTGGCCTATTATTTAAATCAATTCGATGCTATAATACGATTGTCAAATTTGTAGTTAATAAATAGTGCGCTTGAAAATAATAATGTATTTTGATGATTATCCTGGTAATTGGCAGCTAGCCAAATATTATTCCATTTAAAACTTAAATGGTCTTGGCCTGCAATGAACTATTGATGCTGAGACGTTCATCCTCATCCTTTACATTCAATAAAGAGGTGTTGTATTCTAGTATGCTATATTTCAGAAGTAGTCAGAGATGGACTTTTATGACTTTTCCAATACCATTGCCTTTTAAAATATAAATAAAAACTTGGTTATTAGATTGGGGATTAGATGATGATTTTGGTAGTAGCATGGCAACGAAAGTTCAGTATTGATTCACCGGAGTTGGAGTACGGCGCTCCTAATCCTAATTTATTGGCTTGACAATCACAACTCCAAAGTAAGTTTGCTTTTATGATGAGAATAATGTACAAACCTCCTTAACTTATATAAGTTATTTGACCTTGTTTTCGCAACTTGGTCATATTAGTAGAAGGACTTAAAGGAACGCACCTAGTCCGAAGTCCATTGTATGCATGATAATTACCAAAGTCGAACCGTGGACGCTGTAAATTCCCAGACGTTACGCCGGCATCGTCAGTGAGTCTTGCCATTCTTACCACCATACAACAACTCGTCAAAAGAGACAAGTGAAGCCGATCCTTTGACCAAATGTGTGCTAAACAGTTGTGGTATCTCTCCTTCTGTCCTGGGCTATTTACCTTTCCTATATCCTCCTATCCCGCATTAACTATCACTATTTTTTTCCTTGTAATAGTGAATATTCAATACCTTTGGATTTTTATTAATATGTGAAATACTGATTTGGCATGTTTTCCTTTGGAACTTGTAAAATGATTTCATTTGATTATTGGTTGCGAGTCTCAGCCTTGTTGTTTGGGCGTTGCATAGTTTTTAGTCGCTTTGCGACCAAATAGCTCCATTCTGAGTCATAAAATGTAGGAAAGATCGTCATAGCAAGTTCTTTTTTTTAGGAACTACGGAGATATGTCTAAGCTGGATTGCACAGTAAAATCAAAAATCTCCTTTTTCTCAAGCTCAATCTCTTCTAATAATTTTTACTTCGGCTATTCATGACACAAGAATTCGAATTTCTTTGTTTGCATGGCCATCTGTTGCAAATCAATGGAATATCTATGCAGAACTTCAATTTTGGTTATTTAACGGACGTTTCTCGGATTCGTTTGAGAAGCATGTTA